TGTTGGCAGCCTTGTTTTCCTTTCTGGAGATTACGGAAATGAGTCCACTTTCAACTCATTAAGGTTGTTGGCAGAATTCAATTTCTTTGTGGTTATGGGACTGAAGTCACTATTTCCTTGCTGGAGGTCCTTCTCAGCTTCCTTGGTTCATTGCCCCTTTTCTCGATATTTAAAGCCAGAAACAGAAGGTGAAGTCCTTCCCATTCTTAGAATTTTACTGACCTCTCTTCTGCTTTATCTCTTCTCTGCTTCATATCTTCTACAATATGACTGATTCTTCTTCCTTTCTCTTCTGCATTTAAGGGCCTATGTGATGACAAAGACTCCCTCCTTGACCAAACTTTAGTCAGGCTCCTTTGAGTTTTCTTCTGTACTAGGTCTAAACTTTGGCCCACTGAATGCATTTGTAGCAAAGAATCCTGTTAAGCCAGTGTATCAAGAATGCCCCTCTGGGGCGCCTGGGTGGCTCAGTTGGTTAAGCGACTGCCTTCGGCTCAGGTCATGATCCTGGAGTCCCTGGATCGAGTCCCGCATCGGGCTCCCTGCTCGGCAAGGAGCTTGCTTCTCCCTCTGACCCTCCCCCCTCTCATGTGCTCTCTCTCTCTCATTCTCTGTCTCAAATAAATAAATAAAATCTTTAAAAAAAAAGAATGCCCCTCTCCCCATATCTAAATCATTGGCCTGTCTTTAACAAGAATCCTACTAAGCCACATTAGGAAGAATCCCTCTACCTTTGACATCTAACCAAAGTTCTCTCAGTAATTTTCCATCCACTGACCCCTCTTACTTTGTTCTTTGGCTATAAATCTCCAGATGTTTTCACAGTATTTGGAGTTAAGGTCAATCTCTCTCCATTATTGCAGTAGTGCCGACACTTACTGCAGGAGTATTAAAAAAAAATCCTCCTTGCCATCTTTGACAAGTGCCAGGATACATATATATATATATCACTTTAACAGTGATTACATTAGGCCCATTGAGATATTCTAGATTAATCTTATTTTAATATTGGTTGATTAGAAAACTTATTTCAATCTGAAAAATCCCTTTATAGCAGTACCTAGATTAGTGTTTGAATAACCAGAATCAACATGAAATTAGTATTCAAAAGGAAAATAATTAATATTCAAGTTAAATTAAGAATTTTTGGGGGCACCTGGGTGGCTCAGTCGTTAAGCATCTGCCTTCGGCTCAGGTCATGGTCCCGGGGTCCTGGGATCGAGCCCCGCATCGGGCTCCCTGCTCAGCGGGAAGCCTGCTTCTCCCTCTGCCACTCCCCCTGCTTGTGTTCCCTCTCTCACTGCATCTCTCTCTGTCAAATAAATAAGTAAAATCTTTAAAAAAAAAAAAAAGAATTTTTGGTATAGTGGTCATTTGTTCTTTCGGCTGGTTAGCAACCATTCCCATTTTTATGGTAACAACACAGATTTGGCTTTAAGAAAAAAGACTTCCATGAGAGACTATGGACTCTGAGAAACAAACAGGGTTTTAGAGGCAAGGGGGGAGGGGGATTGGTTAGCCCAGTATTGGGTATTAAGGAGGGCATGTACTTCATGGAGCACTGGGTGTTATATGAAAACAGTGGATCGTGGATCACCACATCAAAAACTAATGATGTATTGTATGGTGACTAACATAACATAATAAAATTAAAAAAAAAAAAAGAAAAAAGACTTCCCATTTCAACCTTGTGGTATGCTGATCAATGCATTCCACTTCTCTGGTCATGGTGATTAGCTCAGAGAAGACATATAATACAGTAAGATTCAGAGAAAGAAGACAAAACTTTTTTAGAGATTCCTAAAAAGAGAAGTTCCCTTTCATTTCTACAACAACTAGAAAAGTCTTATTCTCATCCTTCTTGGATTATATGGTATGATAATATAAATTCCAGAATTGCTGTAGCCATTATTATACCTAAAGGGAAGAATCAGGAGTCACATATGGAGCCACATTTGGGGAAAACTGCAGGTTGAAGCTGATGAAAAATTTTGACTGAAAATAATAAGATAAAAGAGATGGTGAGAAACTGGATCCTTCCTGATGTTGTGGGAACTCTTAGTTAGGCTTTGCCTAAAGAAATTCCTACCCTGAATTTTCAGTTATATGAGTCAATAAACTGTCCTTATTGCATAAATTGTCTTGAACTGCTTTCTTTCACCTGGAAATAAAGGCATCATAGGGGCGCCTGGGTGGCTCAGTCATTAAGCGTCTGCCTTCGGCTCAGGTCATGATCCCAGGGTCCTGGGATCGAGCCCCGCATCGGGCTCCCTGCTTGGCGGGAAGCCTGCTTCTCCCTCTGCCACTCTCCCTGCTTGTGTTCCCTCTCTCACTGTGTCTCTCTCTTCAAATAAATAAATAAAAATTAAAAAAAAATAAAGGTATCATAAAAGTATAGACCATTTTCATATTATAGAAATTTTCAAAGCTCATACATCAATACAAAATATAGATATGCAAGAATAAAACATATTCAGGAATTTTCAAAATTAAGTAACTATAAAAATCATTGTGCACTTTTAGTTTCCAGTTCCACATGTAAGGATCTTGCAAGTTGCAACTCCATTACAAGTAAAAAGCCACACAGGCTAAAAATCGACTCTTCTTTGGATCCATAAGAGAGGGGAAGACACAGGAAAAACCACCACCCCCAAGACTGGAGAGACAGACAGGAGAATACAGGGAATCATAGCTCACCAAAGCAGAGACTGAAGAGCAGAAACTGCCACAGAAACCAGTGATAGAGTAGAAAAATCTGAACGGCAATTGATAGAATGCTAGAGACTCAATGAGGACAACTCTGATAGGAAAACCTCCAGGGGGACAGGATCAGGATCATAGGGGAACTTCCATATCAGATAAATGTCAGAGAAAAATCCTCTTGTGCTTTTGGTAGGAGGGAAAGGAAAAAGGAACCATTTTGGAATGCTTCAGAGCACTCTATTCTTCTTAGCAAGGCCTATCATCAGGAAAAATTAGTTAACCAGATTCTAACCTGCTGGAGTATTATCAGAACCTATCTGATCTGGGGAAGGGAAATAACCAACTCCAGTCAGCCCTAGACTTCCACATGGGAGAAAATAAATATTCAGCTACAGCTCCCTATAAGCATCCTGCATCGCCAAAAGGAGGAGAAAAAAACTGAGAAACACTTGGGAAGTTGACAGACCAGAGGCATAGGTGTACTAAAAGACAGAACTAATCACAACACTATAGAATTCTTCCCTTCCCCTCACACTTTACCATGACATTCCAAAAGGCCTATTTACAACAGTTCCTTTTAGCCATTACATCATATCAGATTATCAAGAAAAAAAAAAAACATAAGGCATAATAAAAAATGACACAGTTCAAAGAGATAAAGCATGCATCAGAAGCAGAAATGGCAGGATGTTAGAATTATCAGACTGGGAGTATAAAACAAGTATTATTAACATGCTAAGTGTTCTAACAAATAAAGTAAATAGCATGCAAGAACAGATGGGTAATGTAGGCAGAAATCCTAAGAAAGAAACCCCCCCAACAGAGATCAAAAACATTGTAACAGAAATGAAGAATAGCCTTTGGCAGGCATATTAATAGACTGAGGTAAAATCTCTGAGCTTGAGGATATATCAATAGAAACCTCAAAACTGTAAAGCAGAAAGAACAAAGACTGTAAAAAAAAATATAGAACAGAATATCCAAAGGCTGTGGGACACATACAAAAAGTATAACATATATGTAATAGGAATGCCAGAAGGAGAAGAAAGAGAGAAAGCAACAGAAGTAATATCTGTAACAATAATGACAGAATTTTCCCAAGTTAAGGTCAGATGTCAAACCACAGATCCAGAAAGCTCAGGTAATATCAAACAGGATAAATGCCTCCCCATCACCACCAAAACACCACCACCAACAACAACAACAAAACTACACCAAGGCATACCAATTTCAAACTTCAAAAAGTCGAAGATTAAGAAAAAATCCTGAAATAAGCCAGAACAAAAATGCCTTACTGAGAGAGAAACAAAGATAAGAGTTACACATGACTTCTCAAAAATAATGCAAGCAAGAAAATAGTGTAATGAAGTATTTAAAGTGTTGAGAGGGGGGAAAAAACCCACCAACCTAGAATTCTGTGCCCTGTGAAATTATCCTTCAAAAGTGAAGGGAAAATAAAAACTTTCTCAAACAAAAATCAAAGTATTTTGCTGCTAGTAGAGCTGTATTTCAAGAAATGTTAAATGAAGTGTTTTGAGTTAGAAAAAAATTATATAGATCAGAAAATCATGTTTTCATATAGATTCTGCTTTTTGTTTGTTTATTCATTGGTTTTTAGATTCCACTTATGAGTGAAATCTTACGGTATTTATCTTTCTCAGTCTGACTGATTTTACTTGTCATAATAATCTCTAGGTCCATCCATGTTGCCTCAAATGGCACAATCTCATCCTGATTTATGGTTGCATAATATTCTATTGTGTATATATACCACATCTTTCTATTGTGTATATATACCACATCTATTCATCTATTGTGGACACTTAGGTTGCTTCCATATCTTGGATATTGTAACTAATGCTGCAATAAACATAGGAGTCATATATCTTTTCAAAATAGTGTTTTAGTTTTCTTGGGTAAATATCCAACAGTGGAATTATTGAGTCATATGGCATTTCTTTTTTTAATTTTTGAAGAACCTCCATACTGGTTTCCACAATGGCTGAACCAATTTATATTCCCACCAACATACTTGCCAACACTTGTTATTTCTTGTCATTTTCATTTTAGTCATTCAAACAGGTGTAACTGTACATAATAAACTATTATATATATATACACACACATATGTATGTATATACACACATCACACACACACACATACATTTTAAGTTATAGGGAATAAAGTTTATTTTGGCAGATAGTGTTAAACAAAATTAAAGTTGCATACATTAGTAACATAACTCAATATCCTTAATTTGGTATAAGTGTGACACATTTTCCTGTTTTCCTGTGTTCTGCTAAATCACCATAACCTAAGCTGCTTTATAAAACTCTTATGTTGAAATTTAGCTTTACTGTTTTCGCTTATGCTCTGATTCCAAACAAAACTTTTCATAAGCTTCTTCTATCTCTGGGTCCATCTCATCATCAATATCATCCAAGTATGGATCACCAGTCCCTGATAAATCTGTCCCATTTTCTTCATAATCTGGAAAAAAGTCTTCTCTTTCAAGTAACTCTTGATATTTCTCTTGGTAATCTGGGTCGGCCGCAGTGAAAGGAACACCGTCAGAGGTATAAAATGTTGGTTCATTCATAAAATAATTAGGATCATTTTCAGGTGTTGCTTCTCTGTACATTGAAGTTGCGTGGACTCTACCCCAGTTACTTGACCGGAGTTCAACAAGCTTCAAGAGCATCTGTTTCACATCTCTGCTGCAATTTGCATCTAGGACAACATTCTCAATTCTCTGAATGATTTCTTCCATATCAGTCTTTCCTTTCTCCTTCCAGGCATCTTCCAAAACTGACCCTGTCAACTTCAGTAATTTTACTGCACAAATTAAGTTGTCATCCATAGGATTAGAAAAGAGAGCATTCAGGGGCACCTGGGTGGCTCAGTTTGTTAAACGACTGCCTTCGGCTCAGGTTATGATCCCAGGGTTCTGGGATCGAGCCCCACATTGGGCTCCCTGCTCGGCCGGAAGCCTGCTTCTCCCTCTCCCACTCCCCCTGCTTGTGTTCCCTCTCTCGCTGTCTCTCTCTCTCTCAATTAAATAAATAAATAAAATCTTTAAAAAAAAGAAAAGAGAGCATTCAGCAACTCCCGAAGACCAACCTGAAGAATATCTGCTCTTGTAACCTGTCCATTTGTTCCCTTGATCTCCTCATTGAGGTTTTGATTTGAATTTCTGTGATGATTAGTGATGCTGAGCATCTTTTCATGTGTTTGTTGGCCATCTGTATGTCTTCTTTGGAAAAAATGTCTATTCAGTTGTCTTGCCCATTTTTAAATCAGATGATTTTTGGTGTTGAGTTATATAAGTACTTTATATATATATACATACATATATATATTAAAGATTTTGAAAGATTTTATTTATTTATTTATTTATTTATTTATTTATTTATTTATTTGACAGAGACATAGCGAGAGAGAGAACACAAGCAGGGGGGAGTGGGAGAGGGAGAAACAGGCTTCCTGCCGAGCAGAGAGCCTGTTGTGGGCTCAATCCCAGGATCCTGGGACCATGACCTGAGGCAAAGGCAGACGCTTAATGACTGAGCCACCCAGGTGCCCCAGTACTTTATATATTTTGGGTATTAACCCTTATTGGATATATCATTTGCAAGTACCTTCTCCCATTCAGTAAGTTGTCTTTCTGTTTTGTTGAGGGTTTCCTTTGCTGTGCAAAAGCACTTTATTATGATGTAGTTCCAATAGTTTATTTTTGCTTTTATTTCCCTTGCCTTAAGGAGACATATCCAGAAAAATGTTGATACATACCACTGATGTCAGTGAAATTATTGCCTGTGTTCTCTTCTAGGATTTTTATAGCTTCAGATCTCACATTTAGGTCCTTAATCCATTTTGAGTTTGTTTTTGTGTAGGTGTCATAAAGTGGTCCAGTTTATTTTACATGTAGTTGTCCAGTATTCCCAGCACCATTTATTGAAGAGATTTTCCCCATTGTATATTCTTGCCTCCTTTGTCATAGATTAATTGACCATGCCATCGCAGGTTTATTTCTAAGATTTCTATTCTGTTCTATTGATCTATGCATCTATTTTTGTCAGTACTGTATTATTTTGATTACTACAGCTTTGTAGTATATCTTCAAAGTTGGTATTGTGATTCCTTCAGATAAGTTCTTTCTCATGACTGCTTTAGCTATTCAGGATCTTCTTTGTTTCCATGAAAATTTTAGTATTATTCGTTCTAGTTTTGTGAAAAATGCTGTTGGTATTTTCATAGGAACTGCATTGAATCTGTAGATTGCTTTTGGGTAGCATGGAAATTTTAGCAATATTCTTCTAATCTATGGAAATGAACTATCTTTTCTATTTGTTTATGTCATCTTAAATTTCTTTCATCAGTGTTTTATAGTTTTCAGAGTACAGGTCTTTTACCATTTTAATTAACTTTATCCCTAGGTATTTTTTTGTGTGTACAATTGTAAATGGGTTTTTTGTAAATTTCTCTTTCTGCTATTTTGTTATTAGTGTATAGAAATGCTACCAATTTCTTTTTTGTATCCTGTCACGTTGCTGAATTCATCTCTAAGTTCTAGTAGTTTTTGGTCGAGTCTTTATGATATTCTATGTATAGTATCATGTAGTTTGCAAATAGTGACAGTTAAGTTCTTCTTTACCAATATGGATGCCTCTTATGTTTTTTTTTTTTTCTTGTATGATTGTTGTGGCTAGGACTTCCAATACTATGTTGAATAAAATGGTGACATTTTAGAGTGGACATCCTTATCCTATTTCTGATCTTAGAGGGAAAACTCAGTGTTATACGATTGAGTATGATGTTAGCTGTGAGATTTTTATATATGGTTTTTATCATGTTTTAAATATTTTATTTATTTATTTGACAAAGAAAGAGAGAGAAAGAGAAAGAAAGAGCACAAGCAGGAGGAGCAGCAGAGGAAGAGGGATAAGCAGGCTCTCCGCTGAGCAGGGAGCCTGATGCAGGGCTCGATCTCAGGACCCTGGGACCATGACCTGAGCCAAAGGCAGATGGCTAACCAACTGAGCCACCCAGGCACCCCAAACATCCAACTATTTTGAACAAATAGGAATACGATCTGAGGTTTAAGAAAACAATCTGCACAGTTGAAGGGAGAGAATGTGGCAGTGTGAGGTTCAGAGCTGTGAATTGGGGGAGAGGAAAGTCGTGGGACCCCAAAGGAGAGAGAACCCTTTTCATGGAACAAAGTCAAGGAGAGAGCAAGGTGGGTAGGGATCACACAATAAGCCATGGTAAGGAGATCCCCTGGGTTGCACTGGGAGAGATCTCTCCCCTTCCCAGAGTTCATTTGGAAGAGCATATTTTGCCTCTCCAAGGACAAAAAGCCAGCTGGGAGCCATTGAGTGGTGCTCAACAGCACGGACAGAGATGTGCTCAGAGGGAAGATAACCTCATAGCAGCATTTTGCTATGAGCCACAATAGGCTTAAACCACCATGTGCATGCCAAGTGGCTGCTTTTCTGGGACAGAACTGAGCAGGAAGCAGACATTGGCAGAGTGCAGATAACCTGGCCACTGCTTTTCCCTGTCTGCCACAATAGATTCAAGCCTCTGTGTGACTCTTCAGGGACAGAATGGAGTAGAAGACTGAGTTGTGAGCAGATGGCAGATAACCTGGTTGCAGCTTTTTACTGTGCATCACAATAAACTAGCCTCCATGCATATACTGTGTGACTGCTTTTCTGGGACAGGACAGTGCTGGGCACACCACTAGTTTCTCCTCTGGGGGAGGGGAGTGGGTCCGCACCTTGCCAGGCCCTTTAAAACTTGGAGTTTGAATCCCAGCCACCAGCCAGAGATAAAATACAGGAGATCTGTGGCACCAGCTGCACCAACAGCCTGGGGAACAGACAGGTTAATGGCAGGGAACTGATGAAAGCCCACCCAAGACACAAGAGATTGTTTGCTTCACTGAGTGGGCCTCCTTAAGAGTGGTGGCTAGGAGTTCCTCTCCATGGGGACAAGAAGGCAGGGTGACACCATCTTCCTCCTCCACCACCCTTCTCACCCTCCCCCCTGCCCACCAATGCATTCAGACTTCAGAGAGAAACACAGCACCACCAGTGGAGACTGGAGTCCCCTACACTAAAGCCTGCCCCCCTATGCCTGGCAGGGGCATGTTTACAAAGGCAAGTCAGCTTGTGAGCCAGATCAGGAGGCCTCAACCTCAGAAGACCAACACAGGCCCCACCCCACCCCTGCAACATGTAACAAGGCTACTGATTAGTGCTCCAAAATGTTAGCTTCTGGTGGAAATAAGAACACTTGCTTCTTTGTTTGTCCTCTTAATTTTTAAAATTTTTATTTTTTT